ACGCCGCAAACACCGTCGCCACCAGACAAACAGGGAGGCTAGCGCCAGAGATGGGGAACTGGGGGTATGTCTACACTCCCCCGCTAGTTTGAACTAGCGGGGTAGTGTAGACATACCCTGGGACAGTCAGGTTCTCAGCCCACTGCTGGCCTCTATCTGCAGAGTGCTTTGGGCATCTCTGAGCTCCGCCCACGTGGAGCAATGTGTGTCCCTGTGCTATACAGTAATTCCTCATTTAACACTATAGATGCCTTTCTGAAAATGTTTGTGCTAAGCGAAAACATGCTATGTGGGATCAATTTTCCCATTCAAAATAATGGAAAAGGTGGGGGTTGCGTTTCAGGTGGTGGAGGCAAAGTCAATTGTTTGTTGGTGCAAGGTTGTCAGCATTCGATATCTAGCCACACAAGATAACTAGCCACACAAGTCGCCACGGCTTCTTAAAACACAAAGATAAATACATGAGTGAGCAGAGGCGTGTTTGTGACCATGTGTGTTCATCCGCTCATGCGTATTACCACTGTTTTCACCAACTTTTATACCGCCGCACGAAGTCGTCCTCCACTTGATTATTTTTGTGCTATTTTGAGGACGGTTGTGTTACGCGAAAAATGTTCCCTAAAAAAAATCGTGCTATTGCAAAAACATGTTAAGCGGGCACGTGTTAAACGAGTAATTACTGAACACATGCACGGTCGGGGGCAAGCCGAGCAGAGTTGGCACAGACTAGCAGTGTGCAGCCTCCCTCTGGCCCGCTGCAACGGGTACAGCCACACAGACGCTGAGCTAGGCTGTGGCCTGTCATACAGAGTTGAATCAATCATGAAACAAAACATCCCTCTTTTTTCTGCTTTCCCTTGTTACCAAGTGCATGAGACTGTCACGGTTTGGCTAGAGACTTGTTTGCCAGACTGGCCGGGGGCAGGGAGAAGGGGAGCAGACACTGCAGGGTCTCAATTATCTGCGTAGCTTGGGAGACATAAAAAAAAAATCGTTCCAGTTTTCAGACTTCCTATCATGGGGTATGTCTACACTACCCTCCTAGTTCGAACTAGGAGGGTAATGTAGGCATACCGCACTTGCAAATGGATTTGAATTTCCCGGGCTTCATTTGCATAAGCCGGCCAGCGCCATTTTTAAATGCCGGCTTGTTCGAACCCCGTGCCGCACGGCTACATGCGGCACGGGCTAGATAGTTCGAAGCCGAGGCGTACAGATAGTTCGGAATGGCTTGCTAGTTCGAACTATCTAGCCCGTCCCGCGTGTAGCCGCGCGGCACGGGGTTCGAACAAGCCGGCATTTAAAAATGGCGCCGGCCGGCTTATGCACATGAAG